CAGCTTGGAAGGCACCTCCCTTTTCTGTGGACGTTTCCCACGACAAGAGAGCGAAGAAGCCCTTCTGCATCATGTCCAAGTGCCTGGACTCAGCGGAGTTGCCGGTGATGAAAAAGTCGTCGTAAAAACACGACCAGTGGAAGGTCATAATGATCATGCCTAACCAATGCAGCGCTTGGCTAACCCTACAAAAATTGTTGACTGCAGATCTAGCCCCGAAGGGCAAAACGCAGGATCTAAAAATCTGTGGGCAGCCAGAGGCAGGCTCAAGGACGCAGAGGAAGGCATCCGGAAGCGAAGAAGAGGATATAGGCAGCTGCTTGTAGGCTTTTCGGAGATCCACTGTTTTGGCGACTAATGACTCCCTCATACCCAACCTTCGACCCCTGCGCACACGATAGGCAGCAGCTGCAAGGATGGTGTCAATCCCATGTGGGTTGATCGTCTCGGTGGACGAGTTGGTAAGGTTAACAAGGGATTCGGTATAGTCGTCAATGGGTCGGACCTTCTTCACGGATCCAACATTGACATCGAAGGATGTCTGCTCAACTCCAAATCTTCTCGTGAGCACCGCCCCCTGGGGCAAAGAGTCAAAGTCAATTGGGCCTTCAAGCCAGCCCCTGTCACGTTCTGCCAGGGTGGCATCGTAAACTGCCTGCGCAACCTTGGTATCTCTGCACGTCTTCGTCGACTCAAAGATGGCCTTGTTGTTGATTGCAGCATTGGCACGAACCTCTTCAGGGGTCAAACTGCCCACCGTGACTCTAGTCGGCAAAGCACCTGTCTCGGGCAAGGGCCCCATGAGGTGGAACCCTTCTTTCATGTGCTTCACAAGATGCTTGTCAGCATAATTGGCATGCTCGAGCATCTCCCCAAAGAGGCGCATTGACTTGCCGGCAAGCACCTTTCTACAATGTTCGGGGAAGATGTCACCATCTTCAACATCTCCCCCTTCGTCCGAAATGGCTTTGGCCCTCAAAGTCCATTGGCGCAGGGCTGCAGTTCTGGCCTGGGCAATGGAGACGTGTCCCTCCTTAAGGCACCGATTAATGGTCTTTTTAAGGGGGGCAGGGATACTGCACTCCAGAGTGTTTGGATGATCCAAGCGGGAAGCACGCTTGACGAACTCACTGGGTACCCAAGGGAGGCCTATCCTACATTCAACCAGCGGGCCACTAGACAAACCCTGCGAGAAGGACCCATCAGGCGAACCCCAGGCAACGGGATGGGAACTGTGCACACAAGTAGCCCCGGCGAGGATGCGCCACTCCGTTTGAAGCACTGGACCGCCAGGCAGGGCGTCAGCTGAACAAGTGACCTTGACCACGCAGGAGTATTCGGGCATCCAGGGAGGCAAGGACTTGCCTTTAGGTTGCTTTCCCACAGCCACTCTGGCAGCCCGAGCAAGGGAGGGCACAGACTGATGCAGATTGTCCGAATCAGGCAGGACGCCAGCATGCAAAAGCTCTTTGTGGAAGGCTTGGGCCAGCAGAGCACACATAAGAGGCGGATATGCGGTTTCACTGGCAGTGGCAAACTTGTGTCCAACCTTGCCCCAGGGCTCGTGTTCATGAGAACCATCGCATAGTAGCCGCAAGAAGCAGACCCGAGGGAAGTTTGCGAGGAGCAGAGTGGCCTTCCTCCTCTTGCTTCCCATCATGCAATGATGGCAGGAAGTGTACAAACTGTACTCGCTTCCAATGGCTGCAACGTCCCGTGTGGCCCAAAAAAGAGATCTACGCGGGTTCTCTATCAGACACAGGATCCCTTTCTTGCAGCAAATAGTGAAGATGAGAGCAGTGACGCGGTATAACTCGTTAGCCTGAGATACCCGAAGGGCGTCTAGACCAGTTAGAGACGGGATTCCATCAGGGAACTCCACGCTGCGAAGCGGTGGCGGGCCATTTGGCAGCTCCCTGGCTCGGGAGCTTGTACCGCAGGGCGGTGCTAAGTGAATGCCCGCCACACAGTCCCGTTCAAGGAGGTCTAGGAGGATAGCCAGAGAACTGGGCTGGCAAAGGTCTAGGGTTATTCTGGGTGCTCTAGCCAAAGGACTAGCAACCTTATCAACCGCTAGGGATTGGGAGTAACCACATTGCTTGAGGGCTCGGCACAGTCCAGCCAAACCAGCAAATACTTCAATGAAAACGAGGTCTTTGCATCTTTTCCCTTCAACACGGGACTTGAGGCGCTGAAGGAACTCCTCAGTTTTGGGAGCCACACTGGCTGGCTCAGGAGGAGGAGCACACGTAGAGGTTTGAAGCAAATGCTCAGGTAAAGGGAAACCAGTGGACTGCGCAACTTCACGG